GGGCAGAGGCCGGCTGGGCAGTCAGAGGAAGAACCAGGCCCATCTCCTCTTCATCCTAGGACACTCAGGGAGGAATAGAGAAGGAAACAACTTGGCTTATGAGAGAGGAAGCGGCCATAATCCCCCTCATTGGTGGCAGCTGGGGAGAATAGTATATAAGAGAGACAGTTAAAACACAGCGTTGCCAGAAGCAAAGCGTGTTTTATTTTGGGCTGAAGTTATCTTGGTTGGCGTCCTTCCAACAGACTGTGCCTTGTTATCTCCTTGAATTTGGTAATTACTTATCCTGGTCCGTTGTGGAAATTTCTTCATTGTAGTTTGTTCGGTTTTTTATTTCACCTCTATCTGCTCATTAAGTTCGGACTGTATTGCTTTCTTTTGAAGACTATTTTTGAGTACGTTTTATCTCCAACTGAGTATTATTGAACAGTGGGGCCAAGTTGGAGGCATTAAAGGACATTTATTTACATTTTGGATTTTGTTACGTGTGTGTTACACTCCAGGTCATCACAAATACATTGATTGCTTTTTCAAAGGAAAAAAAAAATCCTAAATTTATGCTGGTTTGTTTTTGAAGGATCAGTCTGAAGCCCACCCTCAAGTGTTGACTGAGGTTTAGTGATAATCTCTCTGTCTGTCTGCTGTTTCTCTATCCATCCATCCATCCATCCATCCATCCATCTTCTCACTTCTATGGGGTAGCCTGTGTCTTCTTCAGTCTTGGGTCCTCTACCACAGGGGTCTCCAATCCCTGGTCCTTGAACCAGCACTGATCTGTGTCATGCCAGAAACTGGGCCACACAAACAAGTGAAGCTCCATCTGTGGAATGCAGGCAGCATGTGAAACCACACACACACACATACCTGGTCCACAGAAAAGACTCTTTTCATGGAACCAATCCCTAGGTTGAGGTACCAAAAGGTTGGGGGACCTCTGCTGTACCAGAAGTCTGGGAGTTTGAAGTCTTGGTCTCTTTCAGACCTGAAGGAGGCCGTACAAACAAACAAACATGTCCATTTGCCTGTGTCTTCATCAGAAATGTAACAGGTATCCTTTCGAAGAGGACAACTCTATTTCATCTTGACACTGAACATTATTTCTGGGTTAATTATTTGAGAAGAAAAACCCAGTCTCCAGAATTGGAGGATAGCAAAGACATCAGGATGGAAATGTTATTAAAAATGTGTGGAGGCGAAACATACAACCTCGTCTGTCTGTCAGTGGTATTATGGATCCTTTAGTTAGTTAATTTATTTGTTTAGTATCCCATGCCAGCTTTTTTCTTGTGGTACCATTAATACACCATTGGAACATAGTTTTAGAATTATTGGATTAAAACTGCATCAAGACAAACCCATTTCCCACTTTTAATTCTTGCTGAGAGCCTTGGGAATGCGAAGCATCCATGGTTGATGCCAGTTGACAAATGCGATGAAATTCAGAGCAGCAGATTAAGCCTTGTCCTTAATTTATCCTAGCAACACATTTAGGTGCCATCATGGAAGATACCCTTGCAGTTTAGAAAAGGTTTTCAGAGTTTGGAGTTTGATTTTGCTTTCAGAAAGAGCAGATATTGGGGGCGTTGGGAGGACTAAGTAGCTACATGTTTATTAGTTCACTTTTTAATTGAAAAATAACACGAACTGGCTTGGAAAAAATTAACATGATAGATGTGATGAAACCTTGGCTGGTTTTTTTGTTGAGAACAAATACAAAAAGCAGATGAGGAGTTTTAAGTTATTTCTGTAATTAACATTGTATTTAGCAAGCACTGGCTATAAATGCAAGAGTTGCTGGCTATAAATGCAAGAGTTAACTCCTGCTTCACCATATGCTAGGAGTTAAGTCTTGTATTTATTGCCAATATATTGTGGTCAGATGATGTAGGATTTGGGGTTGAACCTGAGCTGGAAGAAACAAAAACTGGGAAGGCTGGGAGCCAGGGGTGAAGCCAGGACAAAGAGTCGCTAGAACAAGTCAAGTCCCAAAGAAGTCAATCAGCTGATACAGGAAACTCTTGAAGATTTTCCAGTGGCAATCAGCATGGCAGAATCATTCAGACATCTATGATCTCTTAGTAAGACAGTCTCTTCTGAAGCTGAAGAAGCTTCTTCTTGAATGAGAAGCTGAACATCTTCAAAGAAAAACCAGAAAGTCCAGTTGCCTCTTGAAAAAGCACCATAGGGACAACCAAGACCTGGATGACTGAGAATCTCCATAGATACTCAGTGTCTTCCAATTATCCAATAGTCACACTGGTGGGAAATTCTGGGGCTGTAGTCTCAACTTAACTATTTCATCAAATCAAAGGACTGCAACTTAATGTTCCCCTTCTGTCCGTTGGCATAATGTAGATGTTCTTAAGATGTGCCCTCTGGGTCTAGAGCAGGGGTATCATACTGGATTTCTTTGAGGGCTGGATCAGCATTGTAGTTCTCCGTGGGCTGGCTGGGAGTGGGGAGACAGGATGGATG